TACTTTGAAAATCATAGGATGGTTGTATGTAGCTAGTCAGTTCTTACGGCTTACCTTCACAATAGTTTTCAGCTTTTGACCAGCTGGTTGACTTGAGACTTCCTCTCCTGGAGATCCTGGTGATTGGCCAGGCTGGGTAGGGTTCTTGGGAGTCCATTTGCAAGTAAGAATCTGGTGGATACGGCCTGCCGCTTGTATCATCCCCAGCACTGGGACCAAACAGTTGCTTTGAACCAGCACTTCTGGGGGGTGGGCAAACTATACACTACAAAATAGCTTATCATGGGTACTGAAATCTTGTTCGTGTTGAAGGGGCCTGCTTAAAGTAATTTTTTGGTGACAGAAATCAGGTTCAACAGCAGACCATGGTCATGGTCTAAAGACTCATCATGAAGCTAGGTCAGATTAGTTTGCAAATCCTAGAAGGTGAGGAAAAAGCTCTTGCCAATCACATACCACCAGCACTTAAGGACTGAGATAAACTTTTGTCATGGTAGATTATCTGAAAAGTAAAATTTGGCTATTGGACTTGTTAGCTGAAGCAGATTTCACTTGCACCGCTCCTTCTTAATTAAAACTGGGAACACACTTCAAAAGGTTAGTGTGGTGAAGAATCATGCAGAAGAAGGGAGGTGGAAAACATCTTAGCCGGAAGGTTATTTTGGCCTCATGGGAGGCTTCAGTTTTTCCATTAGTTGACTTCTTGTGGCAGGCCAATGTTTCCAGGTACACTGTTTGAGATAGTGGTAACCTCCACTGGTTTAGGGGCACCTGCTTTAAATACTGCTTCAGCTGGTGCTGTGGCCAACAGCCACCATTAGAATAGTACTTTATTTCAGAGAGATTGAGAGAGAGAGAGAGAAATTTAAGAGGGGCTGGGAGCCTGTTATTTTCCACATTCCTCTGAGACAGGAGGAAATGGGTTGTCTTTAAATGCTCTAACTTTAACTTAAGGCAAAGAAGTGGCAATGGTAGGAAAGCGCATTGCTGAGAGACAAAGGAATAGCTTGCCCCTAAGTGTTCCTCCTTGTTTGCTGAGGCACTTTTCATCTGATGTACTCTGCCAGAAGCCACTTGAGACAATTGCTAAACTTGTCCATGCAAAATAAAAGGAAGGTCAACTCTCAGTAGAACCCTTTATCAGAAGGCCTCTCAGCTCTCTTCCATTGTGAGATTTTTTTAAAAAAAGGTCTTCAGTGTATAGCATCAGCCAGTTATCAAACTAATATCTGGGTTCTCTGAAGTGATTCTTTTTTTAAAAGCTGGATTTGCAGATTTACGCATTGTTTCTGTTGGAGTTTTATTTGCAACCTCTCATGCTTTCTGTACTGACTGGGGGGGGGGAGTTTTCTGGGCTGGAGTGATTGTCTATCCAACACTATCCACCATTTCTTTCAGCCTTTAATTTCAGAGACTGTAGTCCCCGCTGAGTGCTCTACCCCTCTCTGCCTCTGGCAGCAGGTTGTTTGTTTGCTGGTTATATATTGGTTGCTAAGTATGTGTACAGTAAAGAAAGCAGAATACACACAAGTCTGTAATTTCAAGCAACTGTAAGTAAAGTAAGAAAAATTCTTTCTCCTACAAATGTCTCAGTGTGAGTTACTGAGACTTTAAGTGCCAGTTAATGAGAAAGGAGTGGACTATCTGGGGAACTTGTAGCTATCTCCTCTGCGAGATTTTTTTTAAAAAAAATCAAAAGATGTTGATTTTGCAATTATAACAACACTTGTGGAAAGCAGAATCCTGGACCTACCACTGTTAATTACTCACAGGACACAATGAGGGCCACAGATTGTGATTCGTTCTCGGAAATTTCATTGGACGCAGTGCAAAAATAGTCTCCCGACTGCCAGACTTCTACTTTTTGGAGTTCAAGGACATCAGAGGTCTTCTGAAAAATCTCCTCCCCATTCCAATACCACTTATAAGAATGTGATGGTGGTTTTGCATCATTTTCACATCGCAACAAGACATTATTTCCCTCAATGATGGCCTCTTTAGTATCCACAGTTACAGAGACACTCCGGGGCCCATCTGCCAGGAAGAAGAGAAACAGTCATTTAAAAGAGTCTAGTGTTCCTCTTGAGGTGTCAACATAAGTGGTGCCCCGCAAGATGGGTGCTCCATTTGACAACGAAATCACATCACGACAAACTTTTTGCGATCACAAAACGATGTTTCCTGTGGGGGAATTTTGCTTTGCGATGATCGGTTCCCTGCTTCGGGAACCGATCATCGCGAAGCGATGATTTTTTAACAGCTGATCTGCAGTTTCAAAATGGCCACCGGGTAAACAAAATGGCCGCCCACTGTGTTTTAGCACGGATTCCTCACTGCACAGGCAGCAAAAATGGCCGCGCTATGGAGGATCTTCGCTGGGCGGTGAGTTTGAACCCCCTAGGAATGCATTAATCTGGTTTTAATGCGTTTCTATGGGCTTTTAAAAATCTCATCACGACGTTTTCGTTCTACAGCGATTTCACTGGAACGAATTAATGTCGTGATGCAAGGCACCACTTACTTACATGGCAGTCAATCTGTATGCCACAGAAATCACTGAAATCTGGAAGCTTGTTAGTGTTTAAGAGGTGAGATTCTGGAACAGCTTCATGCCTGTGCAATCATTACTGCAAACAAAGACCATGTTTTTTGCCCAGTGACCAATCGTGAAACATCACAAGTGAATATGCAAGGTAAAGGAGGTGTGAAAAGTTTACACTGGGACAATCAGATGTCTTTCAAAACCTACAGAATCTACACTTCTAAAAAGGTGCTTTATGTACCATATCATTTGGCCCTCTGTTGGAGCCCAAATTCAAACACCCTCAAACTTCATTCCAACAATAATTCATGTTTCCTAATAACCAGCTTAGAAAAAGAGTCCTGATGAACTGAAAATATTACCTATTTAATGCTCCAAATAAAGATATAATACAGGAATTTTTACTCCTGTTCACATTGGCTTTTAACCAACCCAGAGGCGTGTACTCAGGGCAAGATGAATTCTACACAAGCAGAGAATTTAGACTTTGGTCCAGAATGGCCCATTCTGAAAATCTCAAGTTTTCATTTTAAAAAAGGGAAATGAAGACTCTCTTGTGAAAGCAAAGCAGATACTTGAAAGGCAGTCATGCAGAAGAGGGGAAGGATCTGTTCTTCATCATCCCGGAGTGCAGGACATGTAATAATGGCACGAGCAACATGATGCCAAATTTAGGCTAAACATTTCAAATATTATATTCTTAACTGTAAGAGCAGTACAACAATGAAACCAATGACCTCAAGAGCATCGCTATGTGGGGCACCACTGTATTATATTCTTTACTGTAAGAGCAGTAGTTCCAACAATGGAACCAATGACCTCAGGAGGTGGTGAGCACTCTTAACACTAGAGGCATTCAAGAGAAAATTAGACAACCATCTGTCAGATCTGCTTCGATCTGGATTCCTTCACTGAGCAGGCGGTTCAACTTGATGGCTTTATAAGCCCCTTCCAACTCAATTACTCCATGATTTTATGTGCAGCTGCTGTCACTGAAAAGGGCATCAAGACATCCAAGTCTTTCTTCCCCTACATAAGACTAGTAGGTTACATGAGCCATTAGGAGCACAGTGATTAGAATTAGGCAGGGAGATCTCACACACTCGTGCTCTTGTTGAGACTCCCTGCAGAGCAATATCTATCTGAGAGGGTTGGCTTTGCTTTATTTTTCAGGTTTCATGGTCTTTTTTTTTCTCCCTGAAAGACACACAGATCTGCACAGAATTATGATCATTTCTGTGCAAAATGGCACCTTTCCTTGCACAAAACAGTCTACACAGGGCATTGAGCCGGCATTTTCCCCTCTTGCAGAATTTCGTGAACTGCATCCCCAAATCCCAAATCCAAAAGGGATAAAAAAGAGTATTTTGGAAATAGCAAGGAGTCCCTCCAGAAGCTCCAGTAGTTCAGTCTACCCTATGCATGTCATTTTAGGCAAAAAGAAGCCTTAAAAAACAAAAAAGGGGGTGAACAACAGGTCCCGTCTGGTTTTTAAGAAGGGCATTTTTGGAAGTTCAAGGTGGGAATTTCAGGGAGAGGTCAGATTGTGTCCCTAAAAAAAAATCTGAGATGCAGGTTTCTGTTATTTTTAGGGCTCAAAACATTCAGGGAGTGAAAGTGGGTTGGTCCTTCAGGATCCACCATGAAGGGTGTTTGTGCATGCCAAGCCTTGCTACAATCCATGGAGAAAAGGACTAAATAAAAATGACATTAAAGATGAAAAATGACTATATTAGGAAAACGTGGAAGGAAACTGAGGGAAAAACAGGTACAGAATCAGGATGAGAATGTAGGAAAGCATTTTGGCATATATACAAAAATTAAGACAGATCTAGAGTGGTGCATCAAAGGCAGAGCTGTTGGAGGCAAGTCAATCCAGAATTCATAGGAGTGAATCCAGGCCAATGTTTACTCTGAACTTACAGGTGTATAATCTACAGTGCTGGACCCTTTCCTCAACCTAGGCTCAGTATCTTGAGCAGCTCTTCTAAATTTCGGACTAAAACCCAGAGCGCTTTCAGGGCCCCCACAAGAGAGAGCCACCTGCCTTGACTGAGGCAGAGCAAGGACATCTAATCTCCAGAACCCTCTCAGGCTCTTACTCACATTGGACATTCAGCTGAAGAGGCCGGGAGGCTGTCGTGCCCACACTGTTTGTGGCATCACAGGAGTAGCTGCCAGAATCCCCTGGAGCCACTTCCTGGAGGATCAGAGTGGCACCTTTAGCATCGAGGGGTTGCTGATCCTTGGACCACCTGTAGGTCATTTCCTCAGGATTTGCTGCCTCCACTTGACAACTTAGATTCAGAAAGGCCCCTTCCTTGATGGGCCCTGGGGGATCTCGCACGGCTTTTACGTTCTTGGGGGCAACTGTGGAAAGACAAAAAAGAGAAGGCATCACGTGTCCACCGTTCTTCCCCTTCGTGACCCACTGGACAGAGAGATCTGCTCTGTGATCTTTCTACTTCGGAAGAGTCAGTGGATCACAATGTTTATTTACTCTCTCGTTTTGACCCAGCACTCATTTTACTGATCCTATCTTACTAGAGAGCGCTGATTACACCATCCTTTACTTCTAAGAGGACCAAAAAAATTCCTTAAAATCTACTGCCTCACTGGATCTCCTTATAGATGTTACAAGTGGAAATCTCCCTGGACAAGATTCCAAGTATTTTGCAAATTCCAGCACGATCACAAATATTTTTCAGATTGAAATCCTCCCACCAAAAATCTGGTGAAATTTCTCCTTGCACAAATGAAACCTTATGATGATCAGTATCTCAGTACTACAGAGGTGTAAGGATCCTTATGGATAATCGAGTCCAGTCCCTGTCAGGAAGGCCCAGTGGGGGACTGAACTCCCAGTTACTGGCTTCGGAGCCAGACACCAAAACCACTGAGCTATCCAGGAGCTCAATCATCACCTCAATTTAGCTATCCGAGTTTTACTCCTGCACTTGAATTCACCAACTATGTGTTGATAAGGGATGCCAAAAGCACCAGCCCTCTCATCACCTCTTCCTCAACATCCTACAAATACCCCATACGTATGATTTCAAGGTCCCCAGGGTTTAAATGAAGTAGAATCACTCACAGTGCACATTTACAGAGATCCTTGGAGATGAAGTACAACCAACGTTGTTGCATGCATCACAATGATAAGTGGTAGCTCGTCCAGGTTTTGCAGGGGAAGTAATTAGGCTCGACTCAGCTGGCCTCGTCCGAACCACATTATTCTCCAGCAACTTGTACCAGTTGGTCCTGGGGTTACTGCTGCCCACAGAGCAGTTGAATTGGATTGTTTGTCCTTCCTTGATGGGCTGGGAATTTAAAACGGCTAGCTGGACGTCCTTGGGTCTGTCTGAAAAATCACATCAGTTATTTGTGTGTGTTGGGAGAGGAAACAGATTATTATCACCCTACTTTGAATGCATATCCCCCAAGAAGGGAGCTGTGGGACAAGGGTGAGCCACGTGGGACCTCCAAGGGATATGAACCATGAAACTGAAGTTGTTCTTTTGCCCCTCTAAGCAAAAGGGTGTAGCAGAGATGATGTGTGGCTATTCATAGGTGCAAATAATTTGAAGATTTATTTAAATCGCAGGAGAAATCAGATCCATGCAAAGAAGGCACAGCAGAAGATAAAGCAGAGGGACCTGATTATTACTTACAAAGGACATCCAGGGTGAAAAGTGAAGATTTTGCCTCGTCAATGGGATTGTAGGCTTTGCAATAATAAGTACCAGAATCGTTGGGCTGGATTGCCTGAAAGTGCAGCTCTCTTTGGGAGCCGATGACGTTCGATTCAGAGTGTTTGTACCATTCGTACTTGGTGATCGGGGGATTGGCTGTGAAAGAACACTCCAAAGTGACCGCATCATTTTCCTCGATGGTCCTGCTTGGGAACTGGATTTTGGTCTCTTTCGGCGGATCTAGGAAAGAAAAACTGAAACTGAAACCAAAAAAGGACTCCAGTTTCTGCTTTTCTGATTTCCAGCAGGGTAAGACCTAAGGCTTTGATGAGCTGCAGGAAGGAATTTGTCCGATGGCATGGTTTTGTAGACATACATAGTTGAGATACACTTCTTCATGGTTTAGATCGGAGGTGCTCCCTTGCGCTGTGCACATGCCTGCAATGGCCTCATTGCTGTCCTCATGTTTCCAATGCAAGCCCTAGCCCCACATTCTTTCCAAAGACGACTTTAGAAGCCCCAAAGGGTCTAATCAAGGGACTTGGGGGCTGACTTGCTAATATGTCTTATGAATTGTTTTATATCCAGTAGGTGCCTTTCTAATTTCTCTTTCATTAGCACTGTGAGCCGCCTTGAGTCCCCTCATGGGGAGAACGGCAGCCCACAAATGATAGAGAACGAAGAAATACATGAATAATGCAGCTGAATTGGATAACAAAAATGGGGAAAAATACCCCCCCCCATGCTTATGGGTTGGCATGACGGATGCCAGGGAGAGAAAGAAAAAACAAGAAAAAAAGTTCAAAGGAGTGGTGCTGAGGCACCGTTGTAGATCCTTGGAAGTCGTCCACTTGATTCAGATTCCCTTTTCAGGATCCTCGTTTAGTTCTGCTTAGTTTGGATTCTTATATGGTTGCAATTTTATCTTGTATGTCAAGGATGGAGATAATGCAGACCGTTAAAAGGTAGGGAGACCAAGTGGATCAACTGTGTCTTAACAGCAATGATGAATGATTAAGTGAACTGCCACAGGGTGGAAATTGGGTAAGAGACATACTCCATCATCTTACCCAACTTTCCGCTTTTCTTTTACATCTGTTACTCTGCTGATTATTTTCTCTATTTTTAAATTATTAGGGGAGAAAGACAAAATTATACAAAATGATTAAAGTCTGCAATCTAGGATCCTAACAAATATAGTGTACAGTGGGGTCTTGACTTAAGAACGGCTTGAGTTAAGAACATTTTGACTTAAGAACCACTCTCATAGGAAAATATTGACTTGACTTAAGTACTTAGATTTGAGTTAAGAACTGAAAAAAAACCACGTGGGAGGCAGGGAAAGTGCAAAATTTGAACTTTCAGTTAACTGTTGGCCAGTGAAAAGGGTGCCTGTCTGCTTCCTCACTCCTCCCAGCGTTTAGAGAGTGGATTGGGGGTCTTCAGACTGCCTGGTACTGGACTGCCTGGACTGTATTTTCCCTGCCTTCCCTGAACCTTTCTTGACCTAAGAAAAAAAGAAACAAAATATCCCCCTCTATTGGTCGAAGGCGGAATAGCAGCTTCCCATTAGTTTCTATGGACGGAAAAGAGCAGATACGGATCAAATGGTTTTCAATGCATTCCTATGGGCAATGCAGATTTGACTTGAGAACATTTTGACTTGAGAACCGCCTTCCAATACGGATTAAGTTCTCAAGTCAAGACCCCACTGTATGACTACAGAGTCATCTTTCGTCGCCCCAATGAATCAACTCACACTGGACATCTATGGGCAGTTCTTCAGATTCAGTAGTTCCAAGTCCATTTCTTGCTCCACATTTATAATGACCAGAATGATGCCCTCCCAGAGGATCAATATTCATCCTGGAACCATGTATCATTCCATTTGTCAAGTCATTATTCTTCCACCATTGGTACTCGAGGACATCAGGGTAGGTGCTATTGACGAGACATTCAAGAGAAAGTTTCTCCCCTTCTCGGAGAGTGGTTCCAGGATCAGCCCTCAGTTCCACTCCTTTGGGAGCATCTGCAGGAAGCCAAAATATATGAGAGAGAGAGAGGGAGGGAGATAGAGAGAGAGAGAGAAATCATATTAATAAATGGTCCTTCAATTTAAGTATTGTGTTATTTATGCACTTGTTTGAGTAATTGATCAAAGCTCACTATTAAAAGAGCATGATTTTTCTCTTCTGTCTGTCTGTCTGTCTGTCTGTCTGCTGTCTAGTTAGTTAGTTAGTTAGTTAGTATCCTGCACCCATTAGTGTTGAGTTGCAACTCTGGGTGGCTTACGACTCATGGAATAGAAAACAAAAATAAATATAGAAACATTAAAAGCAGTAATAACCTTAAAACAGATGGTACTGACTAACCATATAAACCCAGAGCGGGTGGAAGAAATGGGAGGAGGGAGAAGAGGAGGGGGAAAGTGGGGGGAAGGAGTTCAGCTGGAGCTGGTATGGAAAGCCTTCCTGAAAAGCAACATCTTTAATTGCTTCCTGAGTGTCAACAGGGAGGGGGTTGGTGAAGCTTCTCTGCATGTTGGTTCCATAAAGTTGGAGCCATCGCAAAGAAGGCCCCACCTCTTGGAGAGGGTTTATGGGTCTCGCTCAGGGTGGCCACCCGGAGGAGCCTTGAGTGAAATAATCTCGTGGGTCATGTAGATGACATTAAGGAGAGACACTATGACAAGTAACATGGGCCCAAAATGTGGGGGGGCTTTGTATGTGAATGTCAAAACTTGGACTTGCTCCAGGACACCATAGGCAACCAGTGGATCCAAGCCAGAACTGGAGTGATGTGGTCAAATTTACTTGCACCAACCCCCAGTCTGGCTGCCACATTCTAGACTCACTGAAGTCTCCGGATCAGGTTCACGAGGAGCCCCACGTAGAGAGCATTGCATTAGTCATCTGGGAGATGACCAGGGCTTGCATCAAAGTCCTGAAGGAGTCCTTCATCTAAGTAGGGGCGAAGTTGGGCAATTAGCCTAAGCTGGTTAAAGGCTGATCTGGACACAACTGCAGTCTGGGACTCTCAAGAAAGAGCCAGGTCCAGAAGATACCCAAATTACACACTTGGTCCTTAAACTGAAGGGGAGTTCCAGCCAGCCCAGGAACCATCCCCCCCTTTAACCAATCAGAGGTCCCCACCAGGAGCAAAATCCCTGTTTTGTCTGTGTTCAGTTTGAGCCTGTTAGCCCTGGTCCATTCCGGTACTGCAACCAGGCAAAACTCCAGCATCTTGGGCAGCATCCACTGCAGAGGTGATAACAGAGACATAGATTTGCATGTCATCACCATACTTGTGACACCCTACTCCAAATCTCCTGATGATCTCCGTCAATGGCTTAACACTGATGTTAAACAGCATAGTGGATAGTGCCCATCCCCGAGGAAGCTCATACTGAAGGGTCCAGAGTGCCCACACCCCCTCCCCCAGCTGAACTCTCTGGACATGGTCCTCGAGGAAGGATTGGAACCAACTCAATTCCCTCCCTCAGTGACAAATTAATAATGTTCATGACATGATCCATCGTAACCCCTTCATGGCTCTGATCAGCCACACTGGCAAGGATCAAGCGAGGAGGCTGGATGCAAAGGTTTTTGCATCTCCACATGAATTTTGTTCATCTAATCAAAGAACTAGTTATGATCATAACTAGCTTAAGCCTGGATCAACGCCTATGTGGGTTGCCATCACTAAAACGTATATAGGACTGTGCTGCAAAATACCAGCCATTCTGATGATGGAAATATTCCTTATCCCATTTTGATGTAGCATTGACAATTCCGGTCACAGATTTTCAGTCACTGCACTTATATATCCCATTTTGATGTAGCATTGACAATTCAGGTCACAGATTTCCAGTCACTGCACTTAACAATAATATAACAGTCTTAGAACTGCAGAGCTAGAAGGGGCTGTACGGATCGCAGAGTTCAGCCCTTACCAAGGAGGCATAGTGGGGGAATTGAACTCCCAACCTCTGGCTCTAACCACAGGGGGAATTGAACTCCCAGCCTCTGGGTCTAACCACGGTGCTATCCAGAGGTTCTGAGCTATCCTAGCCTTTGTCAGAGAGAATCCAGTTTTCAAAGAAATGTGTGGGTCTTCTTCACATCACTTCCACTCAACACTTACGCTTTACAACCAGTTTCATGGTATTATGAGATATTTCTCTCCCTTTATCCATGACTGAGCATGTCACCAATTTTCCGTGGTCCTTCCAGGTTGGGACAAAACGCAGTTCTTTGCGAACCTCTCTAAGTCCACCAGTTGATCTTTGGGCAGACATACGTTCCTCCTCCAAGCCACTGAGAATCATCGTTATTGGCTCATCCGGGCAATGGTAAGACATTGAGCACTTCACATTGGTTGGCTGTCCTTCCTTGTTCTCCGTGGGATAGATTTGTAGAGTAGGTTTCGGTGGTGGGTCTGCATCCAGGCAAGAAAAAGGGAAATGCTGAGTCACTCTTCAGATAAAGTTCTAAAAGAATCCTTTTGATATATTTCAATCTCTTCTATTTGTCTTCAGATATCATGGTGAATTAGAATGGTTCAAACTTCTAGAGTTACAGGTCTAACAAGGACCCTTGGATATTTTTCTTCCTAGTTCCTAATATACTCAGTCTACATTACTATATACACCATCTTACTGGCAGAAAGAAGGAATGACTTGAAATGAATGTAATGAAAAGTCAAAGAAGAAAGTGCCAGAGCAGGATTGCAGTTGAATGTTAAGAAGACAAAAAATCCTGACAACAGAAGAAAAACACAGCTGTAATGTTGACAGTGAAGAAATTAAAATAGAGTTATAGATTTGTATGACTAGGTTCAATCATCTGTCTAAATGGAGACAGGAGCCAAGAAATCAGAAGAAGAAAAGGAGCAGCAATAAACTAACTAGAAAAGATTTTCAAAAGTAAGGGTGTGTCACTGGAGATCAAGACAAAGATCATCCACACTCATGTATATGCAGATCGCCTGGACTGCCAGAAAGACAAACAAGTGGCTCTTAGATGAAATCAAGCCTGAACCACCTCAAGAGGAAAAAATATTGACACTGAAGCTGTCCTGCTTTGGGAACCTCCTGAGAGGAGTCTCTGGAAAAGGCAATCATCGGAAATGAGGAAGACCAAATGTGAGATGGGCTGACTCCCTAAAAGGGTCCATGGCTTGAGTCGGCAAAAGCTGAGCAAGGCCACTGAGGACAAGACCTTATGGACAGGCATTCACTCATGGGATCCCCAGGAGTCTTACTTGACTTTATGACACATCGCAAGAACTCACATGACTGTATGGCACCACCAGCATATAAAGGACATCTCACCAGATGAACAAATTATTTTTGGTGCCAGGAAATCTGCCTGCTTGTCCCTTTCCCCTACACCCTGCAAATATTTCACATGAAGCACGGAAGTGGACTTTTGGCCATCAACCATCCATCAGCATTTTAATTTTGTGTGTGTTTGTGTGTGTGTGTGTGTGTCTGTGTCTGTGTCTGTGTGTGTGTGTGTGTGTTTTCAGACTGGTTTATACTATATGCTGTGGCATTTGTTTTATTTCATTTGGTTTGGATTCAGATACTTAGGTTTTTGGTTAAAAACTTGTAATTGTTATATAATACCAATCAATATTTTTATAATTTTGATTGACTGTGCCTGGTGTTTTTGAACAATCACCACCACAGCCTTTGAATTGCAGAGCGGAAAGTAAGGTATAGTGTGGAAATGAACTCCCAACCTCTCCTAAACGAAGTGCCAAATGGCAGAATTAATGGTGTCCAAAGAGGGGAAACAGATTACAAAACTGCCATGGAAGGAAGGAAGGAAGGAAGGAAGGAAGGAAGGAAGGAAGGAAG